CTCCCGCTGCCGCCGCCGCCGCCGCCACCGTCGCCCCGCCCCGCCTGGCCCATTGGCTCAGTGAGCCCTCGGGTCCGCCCACCAGCCGCAGGGTCCGGCCTTTCTATTAGAGTTATGGCTAGAAGTCCCACCCACCTTTCTCAAGCGTCTTTTTCTATTGGTTCGTACACACAGGCGGGGCACAGCGCACCTCCCGTCCTTCCCATTGGCTCGTCGTGCCTGCGCCTATTGGCTCGGGACGCCGCGGGTTCCGGTGCTAGTTCCCCACTGGCCGGCGCTGGGCATTTTGCAACGCCCACTGACGCATCGCCCCGCCTCTCTCCCGAAGGAGCCTCTCTTTTGACTCCGCCCCCGCAGCGAAGTTGCGGTGATAACTGGGCGACTTTGGCCCTTGCAGCATCTTGATTGGCTCCACCGTGTACGGGGGCCGATCTCGGTGACGTACCAGCTTAGTGCTCTCATTGGCTAACGGTGCCAGGGTCGAAGGCCAGGTAAAGGTGGGTTGCGCGGCAGAGGCTGCTAGGCAGCAAGGTCAGGCCTCGCGTCCCACCAGGCACCGCGGCAGAGGGGCACCCCCTCTGGTCCGGAGCGGCTCACCGAAAACCGGAAGTGTTGTCCCTTCCCAGAGTGCCTCGGGAGAATCTTAATCTGTTCTGTGAACCCTGCCCTGCTTTCAGTTACCCACAATGCCCCCGTTACCTCTTAACGCTCCAGCGGCCGTAGCCCCACCCCTTTTGTTACCCATCATGCCTCGGGCTCCCGGCGTCCTGCGCTTCTATCTTGGGCCCATTCATTCCCGTCCCATTACCCGTCAGGCCTCCGCCCCGTTCAGTGCCGCTTCTTGCCCGACCGAACTGCTTTGAGCCCGTCCCTGCCTATTCACTCTCGTGATTCTAACGGCCCTTCGGTGATGAGACTTCACGTTTGGGCTCCACTAACTCCTGCCCATCACCTCTCCGCCCCCAGCCTGTTTCTTCATTCTCCACTGCTCTGCCTCTGGATCAGTCATTCATTCTTCACCCTTCTGTCTCTGGATCATCCAGATACTCAGCTCCCACCATGCCTTGGGCGCCCATGGCAACGTTACTCACAAATCTGCCTTTGGCTTATTCTGACTCCTCATCTTGCCGCCGGACTTGAGCCCTCATACCTAATTTCTGCTATTTTTGTGTCTGTTCCATTCATTGGACTGCTGTTGCAATGACTCATTTTCATTAACCACTAATGCCCTGGACCCCTCCCCGTCTCTTTCCCTCATGCATCATTTTGCTTTTGATGGGTACATTTCTGCTTATTACTCTTTCGCTGGATTCTTCTGTATCTTTGACGGCTTGGTTTCCGTCTTCACCCATCTTGACTAGTTCACGATTCTCTCAAGCCCGGGACTCCTTTTTCATTCCCCACCATGTCCCACCCCCTCCTCTTCACATTCCACAGAAAACGCAAGGCCTGGTCAAAGTATAAATCCATATTTTGTAGGAAGTGGTAACTTACAAAACAATATCACATCCCCTACCCTCCAACCCAGGTGACCCACACCCCACCCAGGAGGATATTTAGGCCCCATCCCACTGGGCAGGGGGTGAAAGGATTCAGTAGTCTTCAGGTAACAGCAAGTCCTTCTCCCAAGGCTGGGGCCGTCAAGGCACACTCCACATGAGGCTCACCCCATCTAGCCCTGGGCTGGGGTTTCCTGCTCTGTAGACAGGATTTGAGGTGGTGGGGGCTCAGGGAAGGGTCTGGACCCTGAGACTCCTGCCTGCAGGAGGGATGAAATGGGACAGCTCTGCCTTGGGTTGAGGAATCCCCTCCCTCTCACCTTTGGGGAACAGGGTGGAGAGGGGACAATGGGATCCTGCCGCCTGGAGGGCTCAGGTCTGAGCAGCAGGGAGCCCCTAATGCCACTCCAGCAGACCTGTTGGGAATGGACTGCCTGAGGACAAATCATCGGCCTGGGTCTTCTTTGGGATTTGGGGGGAATCGATATGTCGGTGGAGGTGAGAGGTATGCTCTAAGGTCACAGTCTTAGAGAGGAGTCCTTGGGGTCAGGGGTTGTGTGGAAACATACCCTCCCCGCCCCCCAGCTCAGGAGATAAAGTAGCCAATGCCATGGCAGGTTTCTCTGGGTCAGAGAACATGGGTTAGAGGTCAAAGTGGAGCCACCAAGGTAAAAGTCACAAATGGGACGCACGTGTGTTAAATGACTGGTCTGGCTGGAGGTCAGGGGCATTAGATCCCTGGCAGAAAGCTAAGGGATCAAAAGGTGAGAGGTGAGAGGTCCAAGTGCATGGCAGCTCACACATACATGGCCCGGGACATGACAAAGCCTTTGCCCTGGTAGGAATCAGAGGGACTGGTGTAGGAAAGGGCATCATAGATGGGGTTGATCTTGTCCAAATAGTCTTCCTCTCCTTCCTCCTCATCCTCTAGATCCAGGGACACTCCCTCCACGACAGGTGGCCCTGGCGGCACCAGGATGGGGGATCCCAGGCTTGTGGCCCCAAGGAGCAGGGATCCGGACCGGTCTTCCAAAGTGGGCAGCTCATGGTATCGAGGCACTTCCTGGGGGTGTGGAGGGGATAAGTCAAGGCCACCTCATAAGCCGACAGAAAATTTCATTCTGCCCCTTGACCCCCAAATCCTGATCACCCTCTCCCCAACTAAATGGCGGTCCGCCCTCCTCCTTTGTCAGTCCTTGGCCCCTGAGTCGATACTGCAATGAGACACTTCTGCAGCCAATCCCTAACCCAAAGCTCAGAGCATGGACCTGACCCTGATGATCCTGGCCCTAATCTTTGTCCCTTGATCCCTGACCCCAAGCCTTTTTTCACCCAATCTTGACCTCAACTACTTCACCTTGAGCCTGAAACAGCCCCTTGAACCTTGATTTGTCTCAGTCTCAATATCTGACCCCTGACCTCCAGGAGATGACTCAGGGAAGTGACCTTTTCTTCTCCCAGCTCCACACAGTGTCTAGAAAATGTAAATACTCAACAATTTTCTTTTCTTTTTTTTTTGAGTCAGTCTCACTCTGTCGCCCAGGGTGGAGTGCAGTGGCACAATCACAGCCACCGCAGCCTCGACCTGCTGGGCTCAGGCGATCCTTCCGCCTCAGCCTTCCAAGTAGCTGGAACCATAGGTGCGTGCCACCAAACCCCACTGATTTTTTGATTTATTGTAGAGAAGAGATCTTGCCATGTTGCCTAGGTTAGTCTCAAACCCTTGAGCTCAGGCAATCCTCTTACCTCTGTCTCTCGAAGTGCTGGGATTACAGGTGTCAGCCACTATGCCTTGATCAAAATTTTTCATTGATCAAGTAACTTTACTTATTTCTTTTGAGTTGGGAGTCTCACGTACGTTGGAGTGCAGTGGGATGGTATAACTTTCTTTTGAGTCGGAGCCTCACTCTATTGCCCAGGCTGGTATGCAGTGGCACACTCACTGCAATCCTTCTGCCTCAGCCTTCCAAGTAGCTGGAACTACAGGTGTGCACCACCATGCCCAGTTAATTTATTGTAGAGATGAAGGCTCACCAAGTTGCCCAGGCTGGTCTCGAACCTGTGGGCTCAGGCAATCCTCTCACCTTGATCTCCCAAACTGCTGGGATTATAGGCGTGAGCCACAGTGCCCGGGCCCAATTAACTTTCAGCTCTAACCTTGTGTCCTACGACGTTTTCACCCCTGACCTCCCCCACCCAATCCTGAACACACTCCCAAGGCACTAAGCCCTGACCTTGAGTTGTGACCTTCAGTCCCTCAAGACTTCTGTCAGGGCCTCACCCCTGGCCCTTAAACCCAGACCCTGAACACATCCTAGTCCTCCCCTGAGCTCCTACCTGCTCAGTGCATGAGACGCCAGCATCAAAGTACGGGGTCTTGAGTGGGCTGTGCTCTGAGGGCCCCAGAGTGAAGAGCTGGGAGGGCTGCAATGGGGGGGAGGAAGCAAGTCAGGAACCGCACTCACCCCCCACCACCACTTCCCACCGGGCCCTGTCCCAGCCCTGGCCTCAGGGTTGCTTGGGCCCCAGGGGAAATGCTCACCATCTCTGGTTCCTCCAGCTTCGCTTTTGGAGTCGGAGGCTTGTACGAGGGAGGTCCCTCCAGGCTGCGGGGAAGGAGACAGGTCAAGTGGAGCTAAGCCCAGAGAATCCCTCCTACCCAGGGTCACAGGACGTGCTATTTCTCTTTCGTGATCTTCCTTCTCTTAAACTCCCTCCCTCGCCTGGACTCATGCCATGAATTCCTCTTCTTCCAGGAAGCCTTCCTGATTCTCCAGATAGATCAGGAACTCCTGGTCTTTTCTAACTGTGCTTCCCCCTCGGAGCACTTATGGAGTTTGCGTTTGGAATGTTATTGGAGACGTTTTCATTTTTTTTAGTCGGAGTCTCTCTAGGTCACCCAGTCTGGAGTGCAGTGGCACGCTCACGGCCACCACAGTCTTGACCTGCTGGGCTTAGGCGATCCTTCTGCCTACAGGCTTGTGCCACCTTGCCTGGCTAATGGTTTTTTTTTTTTTTTTTTGGGTTGGAGTCTCATTCTGTCGCCCAGACTGGAGCGCAGTGGCCACTCCCGGTCACCACAGCCTCGACCTGCTGGGCTCCGGCAATCCTTCCGCCTCAGCCTTCCAAGTAGCTGGAACTACAGGCGTGTGCTATCACGCCTGACTTATTTATTTGTTTATTGATTGATTGATTGAAGAGATGAGGTCTCGCCAACTTGCCCAGACTGGTCTCAAACTCCTGGGCTCAAGCAATCTTCTCGCCTTGGCCTCTCAAAGTGCTGGGAATACAGGCTTGAGCCACAGCGCCAGCCTTTTGACATCTTTCTTTTTTTTGAGTAAGAGTCTCACTCTGTAGCCCAGGTTGGAGTGCAGTGGCACACTGCTTACAGCCACTGCAGCCTCACCTGCTGGGCTCAGGGGATCCTCTGCCTCAACCTTCCAAGTAGCTGGAACTACAGGCACATGCCACCATGCCTAGCTAATTTTTTTATTTCTTGGTTTTTTTTGTTTGTTTTTGAGTTGGAGTCTCACTCTGTCGCCCAGGCTGGAGTGCAGTGGCCGCTCCCGGCCACCAAAGCCTCGACCTACTGGGATCCGGCGATCCTTCTACCTCAGTTTTCCAAGTAGCTGGAATTACAGGTACGTGTACCACGCCCAGCTTATTTTTTGATTTATTGTAGAGACGAGGTCTTGCCAAGTTGCCCGGGATGGTCTTGAACCCGTGGGTTCAGGCAATTCACTAACCTCGGCCTCCCAAGGTGCTGAGATTACAGGCTGAGCCACTGAGCCCGGATAATTTTTTAATTTATTGTAGAGATGAGGTCTTGCCAAGTTGTCCACGCTGGACTTGAACCCATGGGTTCAGGTAATCCTCTCACTTCTACCTCCCAAAATGCTGGGATTATAGGCGTAAACCACTGCACTTGACCTAAGAATATGTTGTGTTTTTTTTTCCGTTGGAGTCTCACTCTGTCACCCAGACTGGAGTGCAGTGGCTGCTCCCGGCCACCGCAGCCTCGACCTGCTGGGCTCCTGCGATCCTTCCGCCTCAGCCTTCCTAGTAGCCGGAATTACAGGCATGCGCTACCACGCCCGGCTGATTTTTTGATTTATTGTAGAGATGAGGTCTCACTGCCCAGGCGGGTCTCGAACCCGCGGGCTCAGGCAATCCACTCACCTCAGCCAGAATATGTATTTTTAACAAATGTCTCTCTTCCTCCTACCCACCTACCCACTCATACTGGGCAGTGTTACTTGAGAAACATCTAAACATCTTGCCACAAAAACATCTTCTGGATGAACTTTGACAAGTGATTTCAGTTCTCTGCACCTGGTTCCCCTTTGATAAAATAAGTATCATTAACTCCTGAGAAGTTATTTTTCTATGATATACTTACTTATGTAGTCACTTCTTCTTTTTTTTTTTTTTTTGAGTAAGATTCTCACTGTGTCTCCCAGGCTGGAGTGCAGCTCACAATCATAGCTCACTGCAGCCTCAAATTCCTGGGCTTAAGCAATCCTCCTCCCTCAGCCTCCACAGTAGCTGGGAACACAGCTGCATGCCCCACACCCAGCCCTTTTTTTTTGAGTTGGAGTCTCACTCTGTCACCCAGACTGGAGTGCAGTAGCCACTTCTGTTCACTGCAACCTCGACCTGCTGGGCTCTGGCGATCCTTCCGCCTCAGCCTTCCAAGTAGCTGGAACCACAGGCGCCCGCTACCATGCCTGGCTCATTTTGATTTATTGTAGAGATGAGGTCTCGCCAACTTGCCCAGGTGGGTCTCGAACCCGTGGGCTCAGGCAATTCACTCACCTCAGCCTCCCAAAGGCACGGGATTACAGGCTGAGCCACTGAGCTCAGCTCATTCTTTTAACTTTTGCCCAGGTCTATCTCAAACTCATGACTTCAAGTGATCCTACCTCTCAATCTTCCCCAGGGCTGTGATTACAAGCATGATCCACTGTGCCTGGCCGCCTCATCTTTTTATCTTCACATTTCTGGAATTTGTAATATAAAGAAAAATGTATAAACTGGGCTCGGTGGCTCAGCCTGTAATCCCGCGCCTTGGGAGGCTGAGGTGAGTAGA